GCTCTCACTGAGCCTCTGTGTGAGGTCATGAGTTCTCCTTTCCTTTTTCAAAACATCACCAAGGAGAAGGACATGGGTGTGTTACCATTTCTAAGTAACCAATTCCTTCATACCCCAAGCAAGGAGCTAACGTATCTGAAATTCTCAACAATTAGCCTATATATAACAGCTCTATTGCCAGCTTGTCTTTTTTTCTTTCCATGGTCTCCATTCAAAGCCCCTTGTGTTTTGTATCTCTTTCTCCCCATGAGCAGACAGACAGATGGACAGACAGACAGACAGGCAGACAGGCAGACAGGCAGACAGACAGACAGACCGATGATCGGATGGACAGACAGACGGATGGACAGACAGACAGCCAGACACATGCGCACATATACACCTATGGGCACAATTCTAAACTTTACTACACATGATAGAAATGCAGGCCTTCAGTCCTTATTTGATGCTGTGCAATTTCTTGCCTTGTGCATTGGCAGGATTTTAAATGAGGTTCCCCTGTATCTGGGCTTTGCTCCACAGCACGACAGGAAAAAGGATACCTTGATCTTTTGAAGGAGAATCATAATAGGTGCTAGACTTCCAGTTCTGACTTTTCAGGAGAAGAAGATACCATTAGCTCCTTAACAAATCTCTGAAGGAAAATATACTTTGCTGCAGAAGATAATGTTTCTATTTTGTTTTTCCTCAAAGCAGTACAACTTCATCCAGGGAAAGCACCTGATGCTGAGCATGGCTTTGACCCTACTCATTTTGAAGTGATGACCTAGGCATCTTGTTTAGGAGGCATGTGGCTCTGGCTTCTGTTATTCTTCCCATATAAATTCTCTCTGAATATGACTGACAGATATTCCCTTAACAGTGTAGGAAATAGGACTCTTCTGGAAGGTCCCTCTCAGCGAACTCACATGTTGAGTAAAATTCTCCCTTTGCTTCTGTGTTTGAAGCCAGTTCTCTCAGAAGTTTGCTTATAGACAGTCTTGTAATTGTAAATTTGTGGAGACTTAAATTGTTTAATTAGCTCTATGTTTCATTCATTTTCCTTTTGTTCTTGTCTTTAAGCTGTTTTCTCTTGAATGTCAAATGATGGTTAACTATGAAAAGGACCAAAATAGAAAAAGCAATTGTCACATGTACTTTTGTCTCGCAGTGGCTTACTGTGTGTGCCATAAATGTATTTAATCTGGACCAAGCTGAAGAAGTAAAACCTAATTTCAGAGCTATCAATCACAAGCAGCAGGCCTACAGCAGGAAAAAATGTTAAAGGTTGATCTATTACTCAGTCTTCCCTTAGAAAAAACAAAATGGAACACTAGACACTACATCTTTACAAGATGTCACCTAATCCTGCAACCAAGTTTCACCTAATTTGAAACTCTTTGTGTATTCCATTTCTGCTTATGTGTCACCACCTTTATATTAAAAAATGTGTGACTGACAACTTAGCTAAAATATTTAATAAGAATTAAACACATTGGGCTTCATTAGAAAGAAACAGAGCCACTTGATATGAAATTCCAGTACTAATTAAATAAAGTCTCCCTGAGCACAGCTAAGCAGCTGCCTTGCTAGTCCCAGAGTAACATACGGGGCTGCGCTACCCAGTTGTATCATAGTGACTGAGCTGTGCCTCACATCCTTCCAGAAGCTTCTCCTTTTACTATGATTAAAATGGCTGATTTAGAAGAGTTTGCTGCTTTACTAACCTGCATTATTTTTGTGTGTGTGTAAACAATTAAAATATAGCCGTATTTAACTTTTTAAGTATACAGTATTACTGATTCTAACATGGTAGAGCAGAGCTCTAGAATATTCTCATCCTATTTTACTACATTTCACCTTCCTTCGGCTCCTGGCTACCACCACTCCCTTTTGTGATATTATGAAAGTAACTGTCTGAGTCATGCTCAATGTGTCTTTCTGTGACTGGTCTTTTATTTGGCATAATCCTGGTTGTCACAGATTGCATAATTTCCTTCTCCCTAAAGACTAAATACTGTTCTATTGTTAGTGTCCACCACATTTTCTTTATTCATTCCCTGATAGACACTTGCATTGTTTCTATTGGTAGTTGTGGCCATTGAACCTGATGAGCAACTTCGCTGGACTAAGAAAATGCAGAGCTTATTGTTGGAGCACATTCCTGCGCAGGTGGGTTGTGGAGGGGTGACCTTGAATTTTGCACTTGGCCCTTCACTGGCAGTGTTCCCTTGCTCTGCCTGCTTCCCACTGTAAACTAAGTAGCTTGTGCCACCATGCCCTTCTGCTGTGAGCTTTCTGCCTTGGACAGTGCTAACAATACACCTAATGCCCTGAAACCGTGAGCTAAATTAAACTTGTCTTCCTTCTAGTTATGAATGCTAAGTGTTGTGTTGCAGTGGTGGGAAAACTAGGACACTTTACTATTGTAAATCATATTTCTTTTTCTTTCTTTCTTTT